AGATGCAGTATTTCAGATGAAAGATCAGTTTTATCCAGGAAGTAAAATCATAATAACAACTAGGCATGCAAGATTGTTAAGGACTCATCGAGTTATTGAGATGCTTGAAGTTCAAACTTTGCATGACAAGGAATCATTGGAGCTTTTTTGTTGGCATGCTTTTGGTCAGGACCATCCCGTTGAAGGTTACATAGAATATTCGCAAAAAATAGTGGATCATTGCGGAGGACTTCCATTAGCTCTTAAAGTTTTAGGTTCTTCTATGTACTTGGGGGATAGTATAGATGTATGGAAAAGTGCACTGGAGAAGTTAGAAGCCATTCCAAATGGTGAAATAGTAAATAAACTAAGAGTAAGCTATGACTCTTTGCAAGATGACCATGACCGAAATTTATTCCTCCACATTGCTTGTTTCTTTATCGGAAAGGACAAAGACTACATTGTTAACATACTAGATGGATGTGATTTCTATACAATTGTTGGCATTCAAAATCTCATCGATAGATGTTTGGTGAGTATTGAATGTGAGAAGGTGCAGATGCATGACCAGATTCGTGGAATGGGAAGAGAAATTGTTCGCTTGGAATCAAAGGAGCCTTGGAAGCGTAGTAGAGTGTGGCAACATAAGGATGCTTTCAATATCTTGACAGAAAAGAATGTAAGAAAAAGGTCGTATATGCACACATATATGTTTTTCATTTGTAAATATTTTTCAAATGTTTTTCCCCTTTCTTCTGTAGGGTACAGATTCAATTGAAGGCCTTGTCCTCGACATGCACATGCTCCCTAGAAACAGTCACATAAACTCAACGGAGATAGTCTTGGAAACCAATGCATTTGCAAGGATGCGTGAACTAAAACTACTCCATCTTAATCATGTACAACTCGATGGATCTTATGCAGAATTTTGTACAAGATTAAGATGGTTGTGTTGGAATAAGTTTCCTTTGGATTCTATACCCACAGATTTTCCTTTGGGGAGCCTGGTTGTTCTTGAAATGCAATATAGCGGCTTGAGGCAAGTCTTCAAAGGAACAAAAGTATGTTACCCTACGCTTTTCAATTTTCACTTTCCTTTGGCTTTTAGTTTCGTAAAAAAATATATATATCTATAACAAGTAACTCCCCACAATTTTTTTTCTTATGTTCATTTTTTCCCCTACAGCGTCTTTCATCATTGAAGATCCTTGATCTCAGCCATTCTCATTCACTTACAGAAATCACCGACTTCTCATTTTGCCCAAATCTAGAGAAATTGATTCTTGTAGATTGTGAAAGACTGGTTGATGTCAATGAATCCATTGGGAACCTTGAGAGACTTGTTTACTTGAGTATGAAGGATTGCAAAAATATTAGGATGCTTCCAGAGAACATGTGTATGCTAAAATCACTTAAAACACTTATTATATCTGGTTGCACAAATCTTAATGAGTTATCAGTTGAGATGTTAAGGAACATGGAATTTCTGAAAGTGCTTGAGATGGATGAAATCCCGATAACTCAAGTATGGCGAGGAAGAAGTTTAGGTATCTGGAGTTCTTTACCATGCTCTTTAGTAAATTTAAGTGTTTGGGGGTGCAATCTTTCGGATGATAACTTTCCTAGGGATTTTAGTAATCTATCTTCACTGCGAAGACTAAACGTAGGGAATAATCCAATTTGTAGCCTGCCAAATTGCATCCAAGGTTTAACAAGGCTCGATAAACTCTCTTTTGAGAAGTGTACAAGGCTCAAATCGCTTGTGGGTTTACCAAAACATGGTCGCTTGATTATCGTAGATTGCATATCATTGGAAAAAATAACGTATCAATCCTCTTCATACTTCACACTTTCTTTATCAGAAGGTGGCAA